GAGCGCGGAGACGAGGGCACACTTATAGGGACCACGGATCTGGGCTGCGAGTTGCCGAGGTCGCGGTGGGAGCCCGCAAATTGGGATCTACGGACACACGGGTGTGACATCTTGGCCCGCCGGCCCTGCGCAACGGACACGGCGCTCGTTTGGGTCAGATTCCTAGGACAGATCTGACTCCAACACCCGACTGCACGCGGACAGGCCTCGCCGCGCGCCCTACCTCCGCCGTGCCTCCCCTCCCCCTCGGCTACCCCTCCGCACACGGCCATGGTGTCCGGCTGTGCTGCATCCATGGACGACAGGATCAGCTCTGGATGGTAGCAACACAATGGTCGCATTTATGGCGGCGGTCGTCAACAAGTCGACATGTGTGCAGAGGAGGGAGAAGATCCGAGTCCCAGCAGCCATTGGGGCCGAACAACCCGTCGCTGCGTCGGTTGCCTCGGCGGATTGCCACGAGTGACGACCGCCCGTTTCAGAAGCCTCTGACAAGTTCGCTGTTGCCCGCGCAAACAATGCTGGCTCCCTCGTGCACAGCCTTGCGCGCTCTGAGGCACAAACCCACGCTATTGATCTCTAGCCGCTCGCGCACGAAAGTGCTGTCGCTCGTGGTGGTTCAGCAATATGTCTGACACCAGTCAGTGGTCAGCGGCTGTGATGCCCGATACAACCAACCCAGATAGCGCAGGCCTAAATTTCGTATACGTAGCACGAGGCCACTATCCTAGGGGGCGATAGAGTCTTCCACATGTACAGCCGAGCAGGTACGATGGCCCCGACGGAGTCACCGGCCTCTCAGATGCGCAATACAGCAAGTACTCACGTTTGCTTCTAGACCTCGTATACAAAACGTAATCGACAATACGCGAGATACTGGTGAAATCAGTGGGGAGTCAAAATTATTATTTATGATCGAGGATGGGCGATAGGTCGTGTGATCTGGCCACAACAGCGGCAAACAAAACTGAACGTAGGCGCTACCGGCTTCCCCCCAAAATGGCCCTGCATCGAACCAGGGGTTGTATCCTTCGCAGTATCATTCTGGGTATCAGCACATAACGGCATGCAAGACTAAGCACCAGAGAGGTTAGAACATGACCAAATTCAAGCTTCGAAAGTCAACGTAAGTCCCACATTCCGAGGTTGGAGTTGATCGCGGCCGTTGAACTCGACGAAATAGCATGCGAGTGCGCGCTTGCAGTCCAGATTTTCCGCGTGCAGTTTGGCGTTGTAGCCGCCCGGGAATGTGAGGAAACCAAGCCCAAGGGAGCGGGTCCACACTTTGGATAGCCGGCGGCGGGCTGAAAGCTGTCGCACTGCTCGCGGATCGCAACTTTCGGGCCCCTGCCGCAACATTCGGCAATTTGCAGCTCGTCAGCGCCGCAAGTCTGATATGAGGCGCGGAATAAGTCTGTACAGAAATGGAAAGCGCGCAGCTGAAAGCGGGACTTCAGGACGGGGGGAGGAGAAATCATGTCGAAAGTAACCCATCATTGCGTGAGCGAGTACGTAGCTCCACACCGAACACACGTTGGCAGAGGCCATCACCAGATGATGTCCGCGCCAAACGCACGAAATGGAAGACAGAGCGGGAAGGCGGGCCCTAAATTCTCTGCTCACAGGGCGGCAGACGCACCCTCTTCTATCGCGGTTCGCACAGCGACAGACGCCAGGAGATATGGAAGCCAAAGCATGGATGGGCTTGACAGGACAAGGCCGTGCCGGACGGCCGTTCGAATTAAGGACACAATACCATAGAACGCACTTGTCTTTCAGCTACATTCCGCGCACAGGACGAATGGAGTTGGTCCCCAGACGTGCCCCGTGACGTTCAAGCTGAACAAGCTCAGACACTCTCCAGCGAAATATCAGACTGTCGAAGCTCGGGTTGAGTTCAACTTTCTTCGGCGCCGAGATCCTGATCCGATGCTTCCGGCCGGCAGCCGACCTTGGCGATCGGACTGCAGTGAAAGCATCACGTGGCATGCACTGTCCGCTGGCGGCGGTCCAGTCTCAGAAACTCGGAGCATGTGGCCCCCCTCTGACTCTGACTTTCACGTCGTACTACCTCTGGACAAATCGCCTCCTAGGAGGCCCAGCGTTTCTCTTCCTCAGCGACTTTGGTGCACAAATGGCCCCTATCCGCCCGAAATGCCGCCCAGCCTCGATTGGTACGCTCGTCCATGGCAACACTCGCTGTCGACAGCTGCCACAGATCACTAGTCAACCGCGCCAACGCTCTCTGTGCCACATACGTGCTAGAGACGCCGCGCACAGGCACAAACTTCCCCGTGACTAATCCATCTCCCTATCTATCGACCGAAATGATACCTTTGATTCTCGCTATCGGAGCGTGCTGGCGAAGATGTGCCACGAGCGCGCCTTGAGGCGGAGAGAGAACAGCAACAGCGAACACAGTCGCCCACAGCTGACACCTCGGGTCCGAGGTGAGTGCGATGCGATCGCCCGTCCACGGCTCAAGTGGGGCTCGGCCCCAATCTTCCCTTCCTGTGTTCGCGCATCCGCACGCCTGCACGTGCCTCCGCCCGCACAAGCCCAGCCCCAAGATAGAGCGCCAGATGCTCGTTCGGGATGTCCAGTACCGCGCCGTGCGCGACACAGGGTCGCCCCAGCTGCGATCAGAAGGAATGCCCTTCCGTTCGATGCTCGTCGTCATCCGGGGCACCTCTCGTCATAGCGTGTCGCGATCTCAACTCATGTCTGCGAATTACAAAGATGTTCGTCAGATGCGTCCGAGTGCTGTGAGATTGCATTACATCGAGTCGAAGATGCGTTTCAGCGGGAGCAGCGTCTGGACTCACCTATGCCCAGACGTCGGCCCCAAAGTGCCAGAACGGTGTCTCCATTACATTGCATTACAAATGCCATCCACACATGGCAGACACCCCACCGTCCCTCACTTTAGATTTGAAATGAAGATGTTGATCAGCGCGAATTTCCCGCCCCACTCAAGCGATATCTGGCCAACCGAACAACCCAGGATGTGTCCTGCAGCCACCAGCCGCCGGGCCCCGTCTTTCGAGCTTCAAGGAAGGGTGAGATTGCAGCACAGACGTTCATTCAATCGGCCCCGGACAAGTCTGTGATCACGCTTCGATGTATGCAGAAGACAGGATTCTCCGGGCACGGACGAAGACTGCTCCCAGTCTGTCTGCTCACGGGCGTTGTCTCCTACCTCACGGGACACATACCAGGGCCCCCTCTTCCTCACCCGGCATGGCGTCATCGCCCCCTGCCGTCTTCTCGCACGTCTGATGCTGGGCCCAGGGAGATGTGCTAGATCCGACTGTCGGGGCAAGACTGCAGCTCAATCTCGGGCATCTGACCGGGGTAACTGTCCTAGTTCCTCCGCACACCGGACGAGGAGTGCGAGCTGGCCTCCAAGCCCGGGGGCGGCAGTGCGGCGCGAAGCACCCAGGGTCGAGTGCGCGCAATTTTGAGTGGGATGCTCACCGGGGTGTGGCGCCGCGAAGGTCCGTCGTGCGTCGGAAGCGGGTTGGCAATCACGCGCACGTCGAGTGAGTGGTCTGCGAAGCTGGTGCGTGGCATGGATGGCCGGCGAACAGCACGGGCTGGGGGCTCGGAGTCTGTTAGACGAAGACTGGAAGTGCGGCGGCGATGTCGGGGGCACTGCCTTGGAGACACAGGGGCGGCCGGGCTCCAGCATGCGTACACAACGGCCAGCATGGGCAGGGGCAGCCCTCGACAGATGGCGGAGGGGAGAGCTGCAACTGCTCCCGGTACGGCGCAATCTCATGCGGGCAGGGCGAATCGCCAACATCGGGCGAGATGCAGCGGGCGAGATTGGGGCAGACAAAAAATTTCGCGTGATCGAGATGGCAGACCGCGAGTGTGAGTGATCCGGGGCCAACACGGGCGGAGCAGCCTCTCGCGTGCCGCGCACGTGCTTCCGGCATTCCCCGGCCTGCAGGTGATCGGGCGGAGGCCGGCTCGAGTCGTTGGCCTCGCTCGTCCCCCGCCACACGGGGCTTTGTGGCATGCCTGCCCCTCCCATCTGTCACTGTCCGACATCTGCCCTCTGCCCCGGGCTCGCCGTTGCCATCTATGCCATAACCCTGTGCTGCTCCCGAATACGGTACAAGGGCTGAGATGATGATGGTGACCCAGCCGACGCGCTTTCCCTCGACGCTCCAGACCTCGGGGCTCACACAAGCTGCCCCTGCGCCCCTTCTCGCCGCCCTCCGTCCGGACCGAGTCGTTGCGATGAGCGCACCGCATCGGAGATGTGCCCCGGAGCCCTGACGGAGGTGAGACGCATTCGTCCGTTTCCAGCCTAGCTCCGTGATGACCCCCAGCGCCGTTGCGCGTGAGTGATGGCACGCGAATCGCTGTGTCGACGATCCAACACGGGACGACATCGATGCGCGGGGCGGGGATGGGATCGCTGCCAGCAGCCGGACTGTGGCGGAGGCGCGCGGAGCTCGTCGGTGCGCATGCATTACGGCACGCCAACGCGCAGCCAATCTCGGCGGAAGGGCACGCAAATCTGAAACGGACCGCTGTCGTCCTCGTGCTGGCTTCTAGCGAGCGAAGAGAGTTGGCATCAGAGCCCCATTGAAAACAGTAAATTCAGTAGACTCGCAGGCCAGTCGGACTTAGAACATGTTCTTACCGTTTTCGTTGATTCTTGCAAAAAAACAGGAGATTCTGAGTGCAAAAACGAAGAACACATTCTAACGACTGGGCTAACTCAACCGTGGATTGTACTTCGAGGCGTGAAAAAAAGGACTTGGTGAAATCGTCGCATTCTCTCTTGAATGCATGCAGAGCAGCTCAAGCTCCATATATATTTCTTCCCCTCGAAATAAGCATGGATTGTGTATATACCCATGAATATATACCATATTCATCCAGCTCCAGGTCTTCTGCAGCAATGCAAGCAATGCCTTGGGAAATCCACCATTTTCACCAAGAGCCCTGAAGTAAGTATCAAGGTCAATGGCTGGATGCTCTGCATCCACATCTGATCCATCGTCACCAACCTCGTCTTCGAGAGTGACTGATAGGGTAGATGTGCTGCCATCCGCTCCTGACCCTGGGTAGCATTCTTGGAGTCTATGGTCTGCCCCAGTTCGATCATGTAAAGGTTACTGTCAAGGTATCGCCCTAGATACTTGACGCTCTCTCAACCCTAACCCCTAGACACTCACTTGTAGTGGTAGAAGTTGATATAGTTTTGCTGGGTGGCGAACTATAGGAGCTGTTGGGCTCAGAGTTGAGAGTGGGTAAGTTGACGAGTGTAGACGAGTATAACAAGTCTACCCTCTCAACGCTGTATTGCTCTGGTGTTTATACATGAAGGA